TAACTAGCTAAGAATTGGGCACGTTTTCTATCATTTTTGTTACTGCATCTCCTCCATCCCTGAATCTGTGATTTTATCATCCTCCTTGTCTTTTAGACTGTAAACTCATTTTCTATATATCTGTGTCTTGAACAATAGGGCCCCAACCTGGTTGGTCTCCAGGAGGCTACCACAGTAAAGTGTTAAATAACAACAGTAGCATAGCTGGGTTTTGAAACAATTTTTTTTTTTTGTCTTTGTACACTACCTCACTGAAATGCTTCTACCTCTAAGGGAGACGGTAGCAACCAACACAGCATGAAGATATGAAGAGGGAAAATTTTGATGAGGAGATCAGGGCAAAAAACTCTTACCCTCTTATCATCAAAATACAATGGAATCTTTAATGTACATACAGAGTAGACAGGACCTCAGCTTTTAAGACCTCATCTGAAAGGCACAGACTTTGAGACTTTACAAAGCAAGGACCTGAAAGATAAAAGAAAATGTCTGTGGAATACATAAATATTTTTATTCAGTTTATATTTTATGTGCAACTGTGGCTGAAACCACCTTCTTCTTTACAATGTATTTGTCCCCTTCATATGCAATGAAATCAGCCAACTTCAGTCTTAATGTTTCTATTAGTTTTCTCTCCTGACATGTTATAAAAGTGGTTCCTGGTAGCTTGTATAAATAAAAACAATGTTTTACAGAAACAACAGATTCATGGTTTTAATAAGACTATCCTCCTTCCTGCTCTAAATCATTATACATCATGATCAATCAGGTTTCGCATGCAGGTACCACTCCTGAAGAAAACTGCTTCAAAGGAAGAATCTTAATTATTCTGATGAGCGTCAAGCTTTCTTTCAGGATGTTAAATTATTGATAACTAAAATCAATGGCTTCTTTAGCTCAGAAAATGTCATTTGATCACACTGGTACAGAACAGTAGCTGAAGCAGACTCACTATTTTATTTACCTCATTTCCCCTTTGAATGAAATTATCTATGCTTTCTTTTTTCAGGATCTAGTTAAACACTCACAAATGAAATCAGCCCCAGCTCTCCTGTTTCAGCTGAGGTGTGACGTCATTTGGTGTAATGAGGAGCGTCCCAGTGAGTTATACATGGGAGACAGCCCAAACCAAGGGAAAAGAGAGCCTAGAGTTGAGATCAGAACCAAATGTGAGAATGTTCAGGATGCAGAGACTTGAAGGTAGAGAGATCTTAGCAAAGCTGGGCTGGGAGTTTCAGGGAGGGGGTGCCCCTTAAGGAAGGAGTGGTGAGCAGTAGATTCACATCAGGCTAGTGGTAGGCAGCTGAGTGGGGTGCCTTCAAACTTCCCCAGGCTAGAAAGCCATGACTGGAGAGACCTGAGAGCAGCAGACGGAGATGCCTGCTGGTTTACTGAGCTGGAGAGCTGAAACCAGATGGCCAGAGAATGATGACGAGGTGTGCCTGCTGATCTTTGTAGGGGAGAGCTAGAACCAGACCTGAGGATTAAACAGGGTGGAGAGAAACATCTTGGCTGGGGTGAGGTGTGTTGAGATGTGTTGGAAAGTGGAGGCATGGTGAGAGACATGGGAGCTGTACTTGGTGCTGGAATGTTGGGATTTGAAAGAGTGAATATACATTTTGGACTGTGCTGGGGGATTCTGGTTTACAAGTGCGGGACTCTTTCTGTAATAACTTAACCCTGCAAACAGCTATCTATGCTTGGAAAGCTTGAATGATGTTACTGGTGGTCTACAGAAGAAAGGAGAAATTGAGGCAGGCATTCTGGTCATCTACGGCCTGACCCAGGAAAAGGGCCCCAGGAAGGGGCTGTCTTTTCATACAGGCCTGATCTAAACATTTAGATTGACATAGCTACATCATTCAGGAGTATGAAAAATCCACACCTGTGAGTGCCATAGCTAAGCCAACCTGACCCCTGCTGTAGATATGGTTGGGTCGATGGAAATATGTTTCCAATGACCTAGCTATTGCAGCTCAGGGAGGTGGAGTCCGGGCAGCAATGTAAAAAACCCCTTCCATTGCCGTAGGTGTTATAAGAAGCACATGGGATCTTTATAGGGGAGAAGGCAGCATGCCGCATTTATTGAGAATACAACAGTTAGCATATGCTTTTCAATCTCACACACACACACACGCACACCATGCACACAGTCCTGCCAGTTGATGTTTATAGTTACCAGTCCAGAGTCTGGATCAATCTAGTGGCCAGCCAGATTGGTCGCAGAGGAAAGCAGGGCTCTGTCGGTCGCGATCCAATGCTCCCGGAGTGTGGCAAGACGAACCCAAAGTCCCATGGCAAGCACCCTGTTCTTATAGTCTTTTTTTTTCTCTGTTGAAGTCTATGGATTTTGCTGTGTCGGTTTGTGACCGGTTACTCCTTAATTGGTGTATCATTTGATGTTAACATTCCAAAACACCTCCGAGAGGGTCATCCTGTCCTGGTTTCGATTTAATCAATTGTCTTTTCTTTCGGGGTGCCAGCTTCCACCTCAGGGTCTTCAATGTGCCCTTCCTTCATTATGGATGCACGTTGACGGTTCTCTGATGTTGTTAAGTCTCTTCACTCCTTCTTCCTTCACCATCTGGCTATAACAGTGGCCTTCACACCTTATCTTTTCCTGATGCATACATTCCTCATTCACACAAACAGTCTTTCACAGAGACCTTTCAAAATACAAACAACAGTATTTTATATCAAGGAAAAGACTTTGTAAATTAAAGCTTCATTATAGATTAAAGCTTTCTACATCTTATAACCAAAACAATTCACATTGGGGCCCAAGCCTTCAACATTCCTCTAATCTGTTTAACGTAGACACAATACAGGATCCTGTCTCTTACTAGCTAAATCTTAAAACAAAGAACTAAAAGGGCCTAATTTGTAATGCATGAGAAACAGAATCTCTCCTAGCCCCAAAGGGTCATTTCTTTCTGCTATTCAAATGGGGTGGCTGATAAAATGAAATCAAGACATACATTAGTACCTCTATTCTTATAGTACAATTATACAATCCTGCTCCTACAGAGGCTGTGTTTACAACAGGCACTGCAGACATGCCACTTCCCTGGAGTGAAGACAAGCTGACAGTCATACCGTTCTTGTTCCCTTTGAATCAATGGGAGTTTTGCCTCAGCATGGAAAACAGAACCTGGCTAAAGCAAGACTTCACAGCACTGTGAATTAGCGAAGGCCTTTTTTTAAAATTCAGTACCATTAAACTATTGATCTTAGTCACATCAAACTGAATATTCACACTTTCAAATCCCAAACTCTATTTGAAATCTACTCTGGCAGGAAAGAATCAGCTTTGTCACAATAAGATATTTCCTCAAAGGAGTGAAAATAATAACCTATGGTCCATTAAAAGGTGGCAAGGACGAGTTGTGCAAAATCCTAGAGGAAGGGAGAGACATGGCAAGAGTAGTGTCATAATAGGTAGCATCCTGCCTAGAACAGAAATGTACAGTAACTGACAAATAGACATGGGGATATATTATGTAGATAAGTGGCTGTCTTGAACCCAACAAGGCATAAGATATTAAAACATTTTTGTTGCCCCATGCCAATTATTATGTAGACCGAGAAGGATCTGAACCTACAAATTTTGGTGCAGATGGCAGATGTTAATCCCACAATTTGTGGCTGAGTGAGCACATTTTGAACCCACCAAGGGAGGCCACAAATGTTGTGTAGAAAAAAGGATGTTAATAAATCCCTTGTTTACTGTTGTAATATTACACAGTTAATGTGGTCCGAACTTTTGTGTTAAGTTTTTGCTGGCTTATTCTCATTGGAACAGCCACCATTAAAATTGTTGTTTGTTATTAAAGACAGAAAAAGAAGATAGCTCCAGGTATTAGAGAAGTTAGCTTTTTAACAACTGCCTCTTTGCTCCTATCTCACACACTCCCTGTTGCAGCCCCCCAAACCCCCTACATGGTGGGCAGGAGGGTTCCACCCATCAGGCAGCTCCTCTCTGTGTGATACAGTGAGAAAGGGATACAGGGGATAAAAACCCAAACATGGCACAGAGCCCTGTCCTTGGTGTAACTGTCAACCTGCCAAAGCCTAAATGTGATGGAGACCCAAAGAAGGAGAAACCCCCCAAAATATTCATACAGGAAACAAAATACTGTGGAATCCATTCCCTCAGTGTAAATATCTTGTACTGTAGCGGGAACTTTCATACTTAATTTCTGATGTTCCTAGATTTCAGCCAGGAGGGGACAGGGAGCTCAGGTAGGATGTGGGTACCTGGGGGACTGAAATGAGGTGCAGGACGGGTTCCCAATAGTCCCTTATTTTTCCATCTTTGTACAGTAAGACCAGGAGTTGCAGAGTGCTACAAAAAGCAGCAAGAATTACTCCCGGGGTGGGGGGTGGGGGGGAATGTAGGTGAGTACTGCTTATTGTTATTAATAATGCTAATCAATAATAATAGTGGGAGGTACTAAGAAAACAGTTCCTTATTTTTGAATTAGTGTTGGCAGCCCTGTGACAGGAGAGAGGGATGGGCAGCGCAGACCGGCCTGTGTCAGACCCCCCTGCGAGGGTGTGAGGCTTGTGTTACTCTTCGGGGGAGAGTAGCGGCCGGAGAGGGTGACACCGCAGCAGCTGCGCCCAGGGCTGGGGTTTTGGGGGGATCCTCTCCCACCCCTGGGAACCGTGTCCCTTGGGGGCGCGGAGATTTCCTCAGACACCTACACGCGGCTCCATGCAAATCAGCCGCTGCCGCAGCCGCAGCACAGGACCCACGATGGGCCGGGCCCCGCCCCGGCTCGGGCAGGGCGCTGAGGTAGCGGCGTCAGGTTTTCTAATGCGCATGCGCCCTTCCTGGCCGCCCTAGCCTTCCCTGCAGCTGGTGGAGGGGCGGGGTTTTCTGGTGCCCCGCCCCCCCTAACGCGGAAGTAGTGGCGGTTTGGGCTCTTCTCCCGCGGCGAGTCCGGTGGAGCTCGGGAGCGTCTTCCCTGCCCGGCTGGGCCAAGTACTGACGCGGCCTCCCTCACAGCCCGGCGGGGAGGGGACCCGGTGCGGCTCCGCGGGGCTGGAACGCGCGCCCCGGGTTCTTAGGGCGCGGGGGCCCCGGCTCGGCCCTGGCCAGCCTCAGCCCGCTCCCGCTGGCAGCGCCCCTCGCCGTGGCCCCGGGGCGGCGCAGGCTCGGATTGGCGGCCCGCAGGTAGCCGGGGAGGAAAGGCCGAGCTTAGCTTCGCATTCGGCAGCAGCAGCCTGCGCCGAGGGTAGGTCCGGTTTCGGCCTCTGGAGTTGCCCTGTGACTGACACACACACACGCCCCCACATGCCAGCGCACCCGACTCTTAGCGAACAAGTGGCCACGGCCCTGCTGAGGAGGGATGTGCTGATCGGCACGGCGGTCGTCCTCAGACTTGCTCTAGTCTTTTACGGAGTCTATCAAGACAGGACCATGCTGGTGAAATATACGGACATCGACTACCACGTGTTCACAGATGCCGCCAGATTCGTAACAGAGGGGAGCTCCCCATACCAAAGAGCGACCTACCGCTACACCCCGCTGCTGGGCTGGATCTTAACTCCAAACATCTACCTTACTCCTCTTTATGGAAAGCTGCTTTTCATTACTGGGGATATAACAGCTGCATACCTCATATACCAAATCTTGCTGCTCAGAGGAGTGGACTCCAGCAAAGCCTTCGGGTACTGTGCTTTCTGGCTTCTCAATCCTCTACCAATGGCTGTGTCCAGCAGAGGAAATGCAGAGTCTCTTGTAGCTGTACTTGTGCTTGCCACCATGTATTACATAGAAAAGGGAAACCTAGTGAAATCTGCTATACTATATGGCTTTTCAGTGCATATGAAAATTTACCCAGTGACTTATGTTCTGCCAGTAGTCCTTCATCTGCAGAATGATGGATACTGTGGAAAAGGGACAGCAGATACTATCCATTTAAAAAAATCAAAGTTTACTCTTGTCTGGCAGCTTTTTTTAAGACTGCTGAACCGTGATGTATTGCTTTTTGTGGCAGTTAGTGGATTTACATTTTCAGCCTTGAGCCTTTCATTTTATTACCTCTATGGTTGGGAGTTTTTGGAACATACCTACCTCTACCATTTGACCAGGAGGGATATCCGTCATAACTTCTCCCCCTATTTCTACATGCTGTATTTGACTGCAGAGAGTGAATGGAGTTTTGCCCTAGGGCTTGTAGCTTTCCTGCCACAGCTGCTCCTTCTTCTAGTTGTGTCCTTAGCCTATTACAAAGACCTTGTCTTTTGTTGTTTCCTACATACTGCTATTTTTGTAAGTTTTAACAAAGTGTGCACATCTCAATATTTTCTTTGGTACCTCTGTCTCTTGCCCCTTGTAATGCCTGTTGTGAGATTGTCCTGGCAGCGGGGTGTTCTGCTTCTCCTTCTGTGGTTTCTTGGACAGGCACTGTGGCTGGCACCTGCATATTTTCTGGAGTTTAAAGGAAAGAATACCTTTTTACTTATATGGCTGGCAGGCTTGCTTTTCCTTTTTATTAATTGCTTCATCCTTGTTCAGATTATTTCTCATTATCAAAAAGGAGCACAAGTAACCAAGAAACTCAAATGTCAGTAATATGCACATCGGTCTGTGTGCCAAATCCTACAAGTAATCCCATTGACTTTGATGAGATTGCTCAAGTGAGCAGGACTTGGCCGAATATCAGTAATGCAATTGTATGTACACAGAACTAAAACACATTGCCTATAAAAAGGCTTTTCCAATGTCATGTGATTTTTTTTGGGTGGGAGAGTGGGATTAAGTGTCTGGGGACTTCACCACCACCACCACCACAGCTGGGAGATGGCCTCCCAGCCCTGGTAGACAGACATGTGCTAGCTCGAGCAGAGCTAGTGCACTAAAAGTAACAGTGTAGACATGACAGGTTTCAGAGTAACAGCCGTGTTAGTCTGTATTCGCAAAAAGAAAAGGAGGACTTGTGGCACCTTAGAGACTAACCAATTTATTTGAGCATGAGCTTTCGTGAGCTACAGCTCACTTCATCAGATGCATACCGTGGAAACTGCAGCAGACTTTATATATACACAGAGAATATGAAACAATACCTCCTCCCACCCCACTGTCCTGCTGGTAATAGCTTATCTAAAGTGATCATCAGGTGGGCCATTTACAGCACAAATCCAGGTTTTCTCACCCTCCACCCCCCCACACAAGCCTAAGCTAGCTGCCAGAGTATGAGTCTGCCTGATCTGAGCTCTGACCCAGGGAGGTGGCTTACCCAGTGCTGCAACCTCCACACTATTTTTAGCATGCTGGTAGTTGAGTCTGGCTCCCTGGGCTAGAAGCATGTGTCCAGCTGCAGCATAGGCAAACCCAGTTTGGTCTCAGTTTTGAGTAAACTCAGTATTGGTAGACCTCATAAGGTTGCAGAGAAGGGCTGTGTTCTGATGATATCTTGTCAAACTCTGTTTTTTGTTAGGTTGATGGAGAACAAATATAATTTAAAGTGATCGTTACCAAGTGATCTATATTTTGTCTGCATTTTATGGGTACGCAGTCCTGAAGTTTTGCACTTGATATTTTTTTTTTTAAAACAGGAGTGCTTATGCCACTCACAACTACTTTCCTTTTTGCCATTTTATTCACTCTTTAGCATTGGCAGTTACAATATGTCTATTGCAAAGAACAAGCACTAGAACAGGAAAATTCCAGACAGCAAAGCATTATCACATACTATATTAGTGGCCTGCAGCTAACAGGATGGATTGTCCTCCTTTCTCACTCACCCTCAATCAATGATATGTTAAACCACCTTAGCAAAATGCTTGCTTTTTTTTCAGCAGTCAAGTTAAGTATTAGTTAGACCAAAAGTCTATCTAGCCCAGTATCCGTCTTCCAACGGTTGCCAATGCCAGGTGCCCTAGAGCAAGGGTCTCAAACACACGGCCTGCCAGCTCCCCGCTGACCCCCCCCACTCCCCCAAGCTTTTCCTAGAGTGGCTCTGGCCCAGCGCGCACCAGGGGCAGGGAAGGCTCCCTGCCTCCCTGCCCTGCCCCCGCACCACTCCAGGAAGCGGCCGGAACCTGTGCGGGGGGGGGGGGGTGGTACAGGGGTCTGTGTGTTGCCCTGGCCGCTCCTCTAGGTACCTCCCCTGAAGCTCCCATTGGCCGTGGCTCCCCTGACGCATCCCTGCTGCACCCTGACCCCCTGCCCTGAGCCCTCTGACTCACCCTGCACCCCCTGGGGGCAGGGAGGGGGTGGAGTTGGGGTGGGGATTTCAGGGAAGGGGTTGGAATGGGGGCAGGGAAGGGGTGAGAAGAGGCAGGGCAGGGGCAGGGTCTCGTAGAAGGGGTGGAGTGAGGGTGGGGCTGGGGCAGCGGGTGAGGCAGTGATCAGTGGTGCGGCCCTCGGGCCAATGTACTAGGCCTCATGTGGCCCTTGTGGTCATTTGAGTTTGAGACCCCTGCCCTAGAGGGAATGAACAGAGCAGGTAATCATCAAGTGATCCGTCCCCTTTTGCCCATTCCCAGCTCCTGGCAAACAGAGGCTAGAGACGCTATCTGTGCCCATCCTGGCAAATAGGCATTGGTGGATCTGTCCTCCATGAACTTATTTAGTTCTTTTTTTAAATCCTGTTGGAGTCTTGGCCTTCACAACATCCTCTGGCAAAGAGTTCCACAGTTTGACTGTGCGTTGTGTGGAAAAAATACTTCCTTTTGTTTGTTTTAAACCTCCTGCCTATTAATTTCCACACCAGTCATGATTTTATAGACCTCTATCATATCCGTCTTTAGTTGTCTCTTTTCCAAGCTGAAAAGTTCCAATCTTTAATAATATGGAAGCTGTTAGGTACCCCTAATCATTTTTATTGCCCTTTTCTGAACCTTTTCCAATTTTAACACACCTTTTCTGAGGTGGGGCGACCAGATCTGCACACAGTATTCAAGGTCTGGGCGTACCATGGATTTATATAGAGGCAATATGATATTTTCTGTCTTATCTGTGCCTTTCTTAATGATTCCCAACATTCTGTTTGCTTTTTTGACTGCTGCTGCCAATTGAGTGGATGTTTTCAGAGAACTATCCACTATGACTCCAAGATCTTTCTTGAGTGTGTTGGAAACACTGGGGCATGGCCACTAGGTAACTCGAGGGGATGAAAGACCACGAGTGTCAATGAAGCCCCCTCGCACTAGGCCCCGGTGTCCTTGCCCCCCCCCCCCCCCCGCCTGGAGGCACTCGCAGCAGCTCTGCGTGCTAGGCCCAAGTGTCTTTGGCCCCCCCGCCTGGAGGCACACACAGCAGTTATGCTAAGAATCTGCAACAGTATGTTGCAGAGTCAGACTGCCTAAAACTAAGCAAAGCCAAACAGAAAAAATATGAAGAAAAAACAATGCTGAATAAAGCAGCTTTATGTATAGTTTAACAAATGATACAGAGAATCAGGGAACTATCTGGGAACTGGATTGGCTGGCTATATGGATACTTGGAACAGCTTGCTATTAAATAAGTATGCTAAAAAAAAAATGTATAAAAGCCTGTATAATTTCCTGCTCTGTTGTACAGGATTTGAAATTCAAATCTCCCTGTACCTTTTTAAAGCTTCAAATAAACTTTTCTGCTTCTCCACCCCGTTGTGATTATTGGGTGCAGCACACCGGGTAACGAACCAACTCAAGCTGTTGTTCAGCCTCTCGGCACTGGGTGCCGGCAACAGCTTTTGGCGTTCCTGGGTGGGCGACGAGGCTGCAATTTAGCCTTGCCCGGACCCCTCCCGGAGGTCGAGGATTGCGGCGAGAACCGACGCCCAGCGCGCACCGGTGAGTTCATCGGGGGCCTCGGAGGAGACGCGATTTGATCGACCCCAGAGGGCACAACGGTGCAACGCACTCATATAGTGGAGAAGCTGTTGTGGATGGCGGTGAAGAACCAGTCCCTTAGACGTGGGGGAGGAGCAGCTGCAGGCCACGGTGAAGAACCGGTCCCTTGGATAAGGTAGGAACCTTTTAAAATCCAGATTATATGCTCTGTTGGAACCTGGGGACGCCCAGAGTTACCCTGTAGGTATGGGACAGGGACAGAGCTCAGAGGTTAGGGCACGGTGTACGCCCCTAGAGTGCATTCTAGCAAACTGGAAGGTATTTGGTGCGGATCCGATAACTAAGAGCCAATTAAAACGATTCTGTACAGTTGACTGGCCTCAATATCAACTAGAGGACCAGGAGTGGTGGCCACCAGGAGGGTCAATTAATTACAGCACGATCCTTCAGTTACTCCTGTTCTGTCAGAGAACAAGGAAATGAAATGAACATATGTATGCGCATTTGTTTTTGACTTTATGTACTCGACCAGATATTTTACAGCGCTGTAATCTGACTCCAACTGGTTCGGTAGCAGCTAATGTTAGTCCCCAGACCCCCACCCCCACTGTAATGGCAGAGCCGGTATCCCCTTCGGCCCCTACACCCACACCTTGTAAGTCCCCAATGGTTGGCCTATACCCCTTAATCACCGAAACTAAAGTCGCCCGGTCTGGATCAGACAGGCGTCCTGCCACAACTATGCAGGTTTATACTCATGTGCCCTTTAATCCTGTGGATTTGGCTGCTTTCAAAGCACAGGCAGGAGAGTTTTCCACCAACCCAAGCAGGTTTATATCAGTCTTTAAGGGGTGCCTCAGTAGTCACAAGCCGGACTGGGATAATTGTAACGTCCTCCTGCGAACCCTATTGTCTGAGGTTGAAAGACAACGGCTGTGTCCAAGGCAAGGAAGGAGGCGCAAAGACGGTACGACCGGGATCATATTAATGTCCCTGACCCGGATGCACAAGTCCCCTGAGCAGACCCCAGGTGGAATCCAAATGATCATGGGGATATGACCCACCTTACCTCCTATAAGGAGTTGCTTTTACATGGACTCCGTCACTCGGCTGTCCGACATAATAATTGGGCAAAGCCATATAAAATAATGCAGAATTTAAAAGAAAGCCCAGGGGCCTTTCTACAGCGTATTCGGGACACCATTCGACAGAACACTAATGCAGACCCCAATAATCAGGCAACTAAGTCAATTATTAAAAAAATTTTTACAAGCAGAGCAGCCTCTGATATTAAAAAAAAGTTACAAAAAAAAAAAAAATTAATGGGTATGACCATGGCACAAATTTTAAAGACTGCAAACCGAGCTTATAGTCTAAAAAAAACAAAAACAAAAAAAAAAGCAAGTAAAATTAATGGTAACAGCGGTACAGGCCGGCACTAAAAGAAGTGGCCGGGAAGGAAGGGGCCGTGGACGCGACCGTCCGGGCCTGCAGGAGAGACGACTGGGTCGCAACCAGTGTGCCCTGTGTCAACAGGAGGGACACTAAAAAAAATAAGTGCCCCAAAAAAAAAAAGGGAGGTGCCCCTATAATGGCAATGGTAAAGCAGGAATAGGGGTGTCAGGGAAAACGGACCACCCTACCCCCGGAACCCCGAGTAAAGATGCGGGTGGGAAGCTCAGAAATAGATTTTTAGTGGACTCTGGAGCGGCCCGGACTGCCGTAAATCAGCCTCTTCAGTTGCCAGTAGCAAATTCCCTTACTGTGGTGGGAGCCACAGGCAGGGACACCAAGTGCGCAGTGTATGCCCCAGCGGAATGTGCTTTGGAAGACAGGACTATATCCCACAAGCTGGTATACCTCCCTGAGTGTCCAACACCTCTGCTGGGACGGGATCTACTTTGTCGCCTCAGTGCCACCCTGCATTTTACTGAGGACGAAATAACCCTTACCTTACCCCCTGAGAGTGCCTGAATCATGACCCTTGCAGTTGAGCCCTCAGCCATGCAAGCCCCAGAATGGAGTCCGTGGGAAGACCAGGTGTACCCCCTCGTGTGGGCATCAGGAATTCCAGAAAAGGCCACCCACCAGACCCCTATTACTATTCAGCTCATACCAGGGAAAGGCCCAGTGCAAGTAAAACAGTATCCAATCAAGAAGGAAGCCAAAAAAGGTTTACAAAAAACTATATAAATCAATTCCTAATATATGGTATTCTCCGGAAATGTCAGTCAGCCTGGAACACTCCCATTCTACCCGTACAGAAGCCTGATGGCACGTATCGGCTGGTACAGGACCTAAGGGCAGTCAATGAACGGGTTAAAACTCTGCACCCTCTTGTCCCTAACCCGTACACCTTATTGGCTTCTATAGGGGGACAGTATACCCATTTTTCAGTCCTTAATCTGAAAGATGCTTTCTTTACCATCCCACTTGCTACCCCATCACAGGAGATCTTCTCCTTCAAGTGGAAGGACCAAAAAAGGGTTAAAAAGCAACTTTCCTGGACAGTGTTGGCCCAGGGATTTAAAAACTCTCCCACCCTTTTTGGCCAGGCTCTGGCCAGGAACCTACAAAAGTGGAATAACGAGAAGGCTCTCCTTCTGCAGTATGTAAATGATTTGTTAATTGCCACTGTGGGCCAAAAACCCTGCCTTAAAGCCACCGTGAGCCTCCTAAATTTTATTGGACTCCGGGAATATCGTGTAGCACGGAGTAAGGCTCAAATTGCCCTCCCAGAGGTACGGTACCTCGGGTTTCACATACGGAA